GCACACACACACACACACACAAATCTTTTTCGTTTTTCTTGCGCGAAGCTGCAGGTGGCATATTAGATCGATAATGATTTCAAATTCGATTATTATTAAAATAAAGTAAGTTGAGTAACCTCAACAAAAATTGTTTTCATATAGTTTACAAGAATATATGTAAATGATACGCCCAACAATTGGACAACGTTTTTTGCATATTTTTTTAAAATACTCTTTTTAAAAAGAACCCCCTAAAATCTAAGGGTTAATTTGACCAAAACACCCCCGTTTCACCTAAAATCAATAAATACTCACTTTTTCTACCTTAAGAAAAAGTTTTCAACCATTTAAATTAAAATCCCAAGGTGGCGAAATATAGGGCCTTATACGGGCCCTCCTTCTTTCACTAATTCAATCAGTAAACTTTATTCTAACTGATGTTTTAGTTTTTTTTTTGGGAATATATTCTATATGGTGGAAAATTATTAAAAATTTTTCGAATTATAACCGGAATTGTAACCACAAACCCAACCGGAATAATGAGTTAGAAAAGGACAAACAATATGTCTATCCTTCTCTAACTCATTCTTCCGATTGCGTTTGCGATTAAGATTCCGATTACATTTCTATTCTGCTCAGACCTTAATACATAAATTAAAAATTTAAACGGGATTCTCAAAGGATGAAATAATATCTTGAAATTTGTAAAAGAGGGATAGAGAGAAAGAGCTACAATCGGCACGCGCTAACACTCTTCTCTTCCTCTCGCTCAGATCCTTCGCCGCAGGATCTCGATGCGTACTTCTTGGATCTAGTGGAAGCATTTACAATAAATAAATATTTTACAACTGTACATTGCAGTAAAGTAAATTATGCAAAATAAGTGGAACAATAATATAAAGTGATTTTCAAAAAAATAAACATTAGGTAATTTAGATTATTTTGTAAAATTCATGTTTTTCTTGTTCTATAATTTCAAAATTCGACTTTTGTTCAATAATCATCGAGATATTTCGATACTTTTTCATATGTGCTTTTCATGCACTGTCTTTTTTAATAATGATGATGATGATAAAAAAAAAATTTAGGATATATGAGTATTCGTTGTCACGGATCAGACACACACCCTATTTTAAAACGTAAATATAGACCGGTATACGGCAAATTGAAAAACATTAATTTAACTCAAATTAGTGATGTGTGCATTCAAGTGGGTAATCGTTCGGAAAAGATGAAAAACGAAAATCTCATCAAAAATACATATTCAAAACAAATGAAATGCACACGAAGAAAAATGGAAAAACGAATAAAGTATAACTTTTGCTACTTAAATATAGGAAATAGTAAAATTTACTATACTTCCGGAATAATTTTTTATTATTTCAGAAGTAAATTTTACTATTTCTGGAGTAAAAATTGCCAGAAATGCGCATAAACTATGCGGACAATTCCTGTATTACTTTTAAAGTGTAGAGTACAAAGTTATATACTTTATTCGTTTTTCCATTTTTCTTCGTGTATATTTTTTTTCTCTTTTCTTTTATAAAACGAGATATTTTTTAATGTATCCCGCAGAAAACACGTAACTTTGCAACAAGTTTTCGATCAAGCTTGCTATGAAAGATATATTGACAACCCCAACAGCACTGAAACTTTCCTAAAAATTTAATATTGAAATATTCGAAATATTTAATTGCAATGTTTAGTGAAAATTGTGTAAAGATTTAAATGTCCCGATTAAATAAATGTTTAGCGCGAAACTTTCCGAAACTTCCTGAAATTTTCAGGAAAGTTTTACACTATAAACATTTAGTTAATCGGGACATTTAAATCTTTACACAAATTTTCACTAAACATTGTATAATTAAATATTCCGAACATTTCAAATAAATTTTTAGGAAATCTTTAGGAATGTTTCGATGCTGTGGGGGAAGTTTACTCAGCAAACTTCTTGCAAATGCAGAGTATATAGGTATTATAACAACTGAATTAATTGTCATGGTAACCGTTGTTATGGAAACAGTTGCTATGAAAACATAACTACTACAGAAAGGGTTGTCATGGTAACGGTTGCTATGGCAACAACTACTATTGAAACGGTTGCTATGGAAACGTGTTTTATTCACTTGGAAGAGGCTTTGGTTTTCAAAAATGATATTTTACTTTTCATTACGTAAAATCGTATCAAACTATATATAAATTCTTCTGTAATGGGAATTTATCAGAATAATTTAAACTGAAATATATAATTGTTACATAACTGTTAGAAAACAGTTGAAACGTGCGTTTATGTTACACACACATATATATATATATTAAAACTGCATATCTTGCGATATTATAACTTTGATAAAAATTCCTTTATAATTTAGTTTTCGCCACGCGCAAAATAAGATCAATAAATCTAAAGACTTTTTTTGAGACTTGCGCTTAGTAACAATATCGAAACACCTTTTATGCATGCGTGGATTCCTCTTCTCCACGCGCGTATATATACCATCGTCTTCACATTCACCTGCTGCTATTCGAAGATCAGCTGCCTCAACCGCCACCTTGGCAGCACCTTGCCCACCAATGTCGTCCTACTTCTTCTTAAACATTTTCTGTCTTCCCTCTTCCACCAGTCGGTGCACATCAGCTCTTCCTCTTATTTCTTTTTTCTCTTTTGTTGTATATATATATATACCCTATCAATCTATATATTACGTGCCACGAATCCCTGTATGTATTTTTCAAACTTATAGATTATAAAGAAAAAAAAAAAGAAGATAAATTTTCTTAAATTAAGACGCGCATATGTTTCCCGCGCTTCAACTTGAATATGTAATGTATATTTGGTAACAATATATTTTCAATTAAAATACAAAGCAATACTTCAGACAACAAAAGAAATTTTCTCAACATTTTCTTAAGTTGATCTATACAATCTTCGAAATAATCACCTGCGCGCAGTTTTAGAATGTATTAGATATTTTATTTTAAATATGTCAGTTTTATATATATTTCTTGTGCTATAAATCATTAACTGATATTTTAAAAAAACATGTCTAATAAATTAAAAATTTTCAAATATTCCCGCGTTGAGCGAAAATGTGTGCGCCCAAAAACTTAGTTCGCTCAACGCCACATAGGGGAGGACGAATATCATTCATTCTCGCAGTTGAAGTGCCACTGGATTTGTATATATAAGAAGTTAACTAAAAATTCTATTTTAGACTATTTTGTTATTTTAATTAAATTATTAAAAATAAAATAATAAATAAAATAAAAAAATAAAATTTTTTTTTCAATAATTAATTTTAATTATTAAATTTTTTTAATATTGGCTAATTATTGTCTGCCAATAATGGTTAGTAGGCAAAAATATTATTGCGGCAACTCTAATTACGAATCCGATGTCAGTTTACAAAAATTCAATATGGCGGCTTTATTATTTTAATTCATCAGATTCGCTTGAAAATCGTTACTCGGGGGTTTTCGAGGTCGCTGCTTATAAATCTAAAATCAGATTTACAAAATTCAAAATGGCGGACATATTTTTTAAATTCATCGGTTTCACTTGGAACTCGTGACTCGGAGGCTTTCGAGGTCGCTGATTACAAATCTGTTACCAGATTTTAAAAAATTAAAATAGCGAAAATTTATTTTAATATATATGTATAGAATTTAAAAAGTAACTTCAATTTCGTTATCAACTATACCCAAAAACCTCTGATTCACGAGTTTCAAGGGGAATCAGACATATTTTTCCTTTTTCTGTCAGCCATATTGGATCCGCCATTTTGAATTTTTGAATTTTAAGGTCAAATTCAAATTCAGCGACCCAAAAAACCCCATTATATCAAATTTCATAAAAATCGGTACAAATTTTAAAATCATGTCCGCCATTTTGGATCGGCCATATTTTTAATTTTGAAATTTTAAAATCAAATTTTCAGTAACCCCTAAAACCCTTATATACCCAATTCGATAAAAAATAATCCAACATTGATGAACTAGACAACACGATTCCGTCTAAATAAAAGAAGAAAGATAAAAATGAAAACCATAGTCCGCAGGGTGGCATCGCGAGGTGCAACGGAGGTAATTCGTAAGAGAATGAGAAGAAACCAGTTGAATCACCTGCAATGCACCTGCTGTGCAGGGTGAAGCATTAGTCATTTCTTGGAATATACCATTTCAAGAGGTCTTCTGTGATCTCGTATATATATATTGTAAGTAAATATAAAAAATTATTATAAATCATTTCAATGAGAATTCTCTTAAATAATTCATTATGGTCTTCTGTAAAAGAGAAATCACTCTAAAAAATATATTTAGATTTAAAAAATTATTTTTCTTTTACTTTTCTTTTAAAATTGGCTAGAATCATTTCTACATTTTACAACAGAAACAAGATTTGTCAGTAATATGGAATGAAGTCAAAATTCAAAATGGTGGATCCAATATGGCAGACGATTAAAAATATTTTTTTTTAATTTTCTCGTAACTTGCGGTACCTAGGGGTTTTCGGGGTCGCTAATTACAAATCAGAAGTCAGATTTTGAAAATTCCAAACGGCGGACCCAATATAACGGAAATTTTTTCAAAAAAATTTTTTTTGAATTTTTTTCAATCTGACATCAGTTTTGTTATCAGCGATCCCGAAAACACCTACATACCGCAAGTTACGAGAAAATTCAAAAAATAAATTTTTAATTTGTCCGCCATATTGGATCCGCAATTTTGAATTTTGACTTTATCTTCGTAATCTTGCGACAAGCTTGCACCGCAAACTTAAATGTTATCTGGGATAATATAATAATAATCTATGTCTGATAAATTAATTCTTAATTTACTGAAATTATTTTCTATTTTTTTAAACGATTTTATTGCTTTAAAATTTTTAGTTAGAAAAAAATATTTTTTTTTATTGTCTTAAAAGAAAGAGATAATATTTTTTTATAGAGCGCAACTGTCCATTAAAAGAAAATAATATAAAAAGAAATTAAATTTAATCAGTATAACACTAAAAAGTATTGCTTATATTGCAAATAGTTGCAGAATTGTGGGTGCCCTTGCAATAGTAATATAGAAGCGAGATTTACATATTTATTTTAAAATTATATATATTTTAATCCCAAAGGTTTAAATATTGTGATTTTGAAATCTTCAACTTTCGTATGAAAATGATTTCTGTAACAAAATTTTTGCTTCTATTTGTCTTTACCTTCATCATTTTAGTAAGTTTTGTTAAACAAGTATTCTAAATATAAATAAAGTCATTTTTAAATTATTTTTAAATAATATATATTTTAAATGTTTGAAATTAAAAAATTTTCTGGAGAAAATAATTTTTCACTATATAAAAAATGAAAATTATTAAATTATTTTTAGAAATAATATATTGTAAACAGCCTATTCAACTTGATTTTCTTTATTTTATTTGTTATGCATGAAGCTTACTGATAATAAGTTTTACTCTCTAACGTTTCACCTAGAATTATCAATTATATATATATATATAAAGTATACATTTGAGGTAAATTTAAAGAATTAATGGAAGTTAAAAAATCAAAAATTCACATTTTGGCAATAAAATTTTGCTTTCTCCACGAGGAAACAAATTTTTTTTGCTGATCGTAAAGAGGAAGCAAAATGTTCATGTAATGAACATCTGAATTTACAACTTGTATTTTTTGCATTTATAGTTTGAAAATTTTTAATGTGCATTTTTTTAATATATTAATTTTTTATTATGTATTTATGTGTTTGATATTATATTTCCTTTATCTCAAAAAAAACCCCCGAGTAACAAGTTTGAAGTCAATTTCATGTTTTTTAATTTAAATTAATTTATTAATCAAGAAATTATAAAAAGATATTTTTTTAAATGAACTATTTTATAATTTTTTGTGTTAAATAAAAATTAATTTCTAAACGTTGATGATAAACGTTGTAATTGATAATCAAATATTATGTTTTAGAAAATAACTAACGGTTATGAATCATATAAGTTCGTAAGTTGCAAAAATTAATACATATTTAAATTAAGCAAAAAATAATACTAAATCCGTAACTTAATTTAACAAAAAAAGAATTTATTTTTTGATTGTCTACAAATTTATAAAACAATTTCAATTAGGGTACAATCGAGGATCACACCAATGGCATGACTACTATGGTACCTTATTTTGTGAGAAACTGCATAAAAGAAGTGGAAAAACGTGGAATGAAAGAAGAAGGATTGTATATGACAAACGGCAATTTAAAGACGATTAAAATATTGCTAAAATTACGTTTTAAGAATAATGTAGATTTATCGGATTTTGATATTCATGATATTATCGGAGCACTTAAAACATATCTTCGGTAAAGTTATAATTAATAAATTTAGTAAATATCTCATTTAATTTATTATTTCGAAAAAGATTTAAAAAAATATAATTAATACTAATACAGAACACTGTATGGACGAGTAATTAATAAACACGATGGACAGTCTTTATTATTCTATAATGAATTACCATCAGCTATTAAGGAATTGAAGTTGAAAAATTTAATTTCCCAAAAGTTAAAACAACCAAATCGTGATACTCTCGCTTTTTTGATTTTACATTTGCAAAAGGTAATTGAAACACCAGAAAATAAACTGAAAAGCTCACATCTGGCTTCAATTTTTGGTCAAACTTTATTCAGTAATGTTAACTTAAAGGATAAGAGAATTTCAATAATATCTCCTAAGAGAATTAAGGTAAATAAATATTCAATTTTTTTATTTTAAATAATATATAGAAATATGTAGACCTCGAAAAAAATATTTATTAGACATTTAAAAAATTAAAAAGTCGCTTCTTTAAAATTAAAAAAAAATTATCAGTTTTAAATAAATTTTGGTTTATTTCAAAAAATAATTCTTAACATCTTCACCACAGGGATTTTTAAACAAATGCACCGTTTATATATATATATATATATATTATTTTGTAGGTCGTTGAAGAATTGTTAAAATTTCCATCCAGTTTCTGGACACAGTTATTGGGTAAAAATTCTCCTAAAGCTTCTCCCTCGGCTTCTCCAATAGTAAGTTTATAAAAAATCTACTATAGGAGTATACATAACGTGTATCCTTAATTGAAATTAATTGCAAATTTATTAATTAAAATTTTATTTGTTTATCATACATATTTTATCACATTTTTTATATTATCTGAAAAAATTATGACAAAATCGATGAATAGAAATTAATAATAAAATAATTAAAAACTTAGTTCTCCTAGCATTAAATTCAATTCAATTTTTTTATGAAAATATTAATTAAAAATATTCTGAAATTTAATTATTATTTAAAAATTTGTTCATAATTTTCAGCCATTAAATTTTATAAAAATATAATTATTAAAAATTTCCTGAAATTCAATTAGGTCAAAAAAAAAATCTTACTCTAATTTTTCCAAAATTCGCATTTATTTTTCCATAACTTTTATTTAAAAATTTCTCATAAATTTGAAATTTTTCATTCTTATCAGATCTTCTATTTTACATTTTGACAATCTGACATCACATTTGTAATCAGCGACCCAAAAAATTACCAGATACCAAGTTTTATGAAATATTATTAATTTTTTAAAAAATTTTGAGTGTCATATTGGATCCGCCATTTAGAATTTTCAAAATCTGACTTCTGATTCATAATCAGCGACCCCAAAAACCCCTAGATACCAAGTTTTATAAAAAATTAATAACTTTTTAAAATTTTGATCGCCATATTGGATCCGCAATTTTGAATTTTGAAAATCTAACATCAGATTCACAATCAGCGACCCCGTAAACTGTCAGATATCAAGTTTTATAAAATATTAATAATTTTTAAAAGTTATCTTGTCACTTTTTATTTTCAGGGTTTTTTTCACCCCTAGAAATCACAATTCGACTTGATCTAGCAAAACGAACAGATACGGGTATTTTTTTTTGCTCCTAATTTCCGAAAATGTTTTTTTTTTTTTTTGTGGGTCAAAAATCGTGTCGGACGGTGAAATATTTTAAATAAAATTTCTTTAAAGTTTTTTTTATGAAACATTTTTATTAAGCAATAATAAAATTTATTAAATTTTTAATAACATTCAATATATTTTCTCTTTTTTAGAATAGTGATTTAGAAGATTCAGAAGAAACAAAAGAGTCGTATAATTCAGATGAATCTTCTACATACGGTAAAAACTGTTTAATATTTTTAACGTACATATATAGAATGTATAAAGAGGCATATTTTATGAAAAAAAAAATTACAAAAAAATTTAAAGTTATTGAATTGTCTTCATATTATTTTCATGGTAGATTGAAGGTTTTTTTTTTGTATTTCTCTCAAAATTTAATCATGAATAGAGGGCATAAAATGTAATTTAAAAATAGATCTGCAAGTTTTGTGTAAAATATTTTTAAAAATTAGTTTCTTTACATTTTCTCGCAAATTTATTTTGTTGTCCTATTTAAATATTTTTGTATAGACTGTTAGGAAAAAAAGTTGATGAACATAATGTAATTTAATACACTTAATATTAAAATAAAATTTACTTTAATTTTAATTTCTTATTTTTTAGAATGAAGAAAGAATGCGAAGCTTAATAAAGCAACATTTATAAATAAATGTATAAATAAGATTTTGTTCTTATTAATAAAAAAATTATAATTACATTAAAGTTTTTATGTGAAAGACACATGCTTTTAATTACCCGTACCTCATTCTGAAATATATATATATATATGTAAATTATAATATATCACAGAAAAAACCTATAGTCTTATTTTTGTTGCAAATCAAAATGAGCAAATACTAAACGACATAGACATTTTTATTGCACATCAAAATGAGCCGCCTACACGACTCATTCTGATGTGAGTTCAGATTTTTTCTGGTGTAAATGAAAATATAACTTATTAATAAGATGATATTATCTATTGCTTTCGATTATTATTATTATTATTATATATTTATATTCAAATCCACGAGGCTACTAACAATTATGCAGATGTTCGAATTCGAAAATTTAAATTTAAAAAATTACTGACAAATCGTAAATTTCTTTAATGCACTTTGGAAATTTAATTATTTATATATCTTCTTTGTTTCAACTTACTGACAAAATTTTTTTAAAAAAATTTTCTAAGAGCCTTGAATTGCAGGCAAAAGTTGTTTTCCAAGACGTTCAGGTCTCAAGAAGTTATAGCGATGGTTAACAGGTGTGTAGCAGGTGCACCCAAGCACCAGCGCATCCAAGAGTTTTGACTGAAAAGTTTCACATCCACCTGAAGGTCCCACGCAAACAGAAGAACGACTTTTAACCGTCACTCCCAAGGACCTACCCTTCGTCTCACACCCCACAAACGAACTTGCGAAAAACGTGAGGCTCATATTTGATTAGCGTCGCTTTCCCAAAAAACCGTATTTTTCCAGTTATTAGCCACCGGCGCTCTACAAAGTCGATAGTATACTTAAAGTATATATGTAATATATGGCACACTACTGACAACGCCGATAGTTGCGGCGTTGTAGTAAATTTATAAAAATTTTTTACAATTCTTAACAGATTTTAAATTTTTTTTAAAATAAATCAGCGATAAATTCTTAGGAAAATTGTCAGTTTTGATTTTTTGAATTATTTATTTATAACAATTAAAAATAAATAAATATAGGTAGTGTAAAAAATTTCAATTTTTGTAAAAAATAAAATTTTTTAAATCCAAAATGGCGACAGAACCAGGAAATAAAAACTTACTAATGATTTTTTTTTAATTTTGAATTTTTAAAATATATGTCAATAACACCGCATCGGAGATCGTTTTAGTGGCAAAAAGGGCGGAGAAATAAAATAAAAAAAAAGAATCGGGCTTCCTTAAAGTCGTTCCCATGTCTCTTCCTATGGGGCTTTTCGTTGTCACTGCTTCCCATGGTCTTTCTAAACATTAACTTCCTTAAGGAGAACAGATGGTCTATTAATTTGATGGTGCATCGGCACTCCACTGACTTCCCCACGGTTGATACGCATGCACAATCACTTGTTGCCCTTCTTTATCGTTATTTTCTTTCGAATAACACTTGTTCTTCAACCAGTTGCACCCTAATAAAGAGTCTTAAGATTTAAATACACACTGCATTAACCGAGATTTCAAAACCTTAACGAATAACAATATATACATATTGGAAACTTTCTGTTTTCTTGTAGATCAAATTTATATATATACCGTAAATGGGATCATCTCATACAATGTTTTGATTCGATATATATGGTATTAAATTGACATTGGAATCATATTTTTTAGAAATGATCCGGAAATTATCACGGAGAAAAAAGTTTGCTAGCTAACTCTTAGCTATTTAAGCTAATTTTAAGGGATAAAATGAATATAGTATTTGAATAAGTATATATACAGTAATTGGAATATTCGAAATAGTATTCCAAACGGTATTGAAAGTATACAGAGTATACCAAACAGTATTCTAAGTTGTATACAACATCTCCAAAGTAAACCTGAAGGGCTCCCGTAATATTCGAAACGCATATGACAGTATACTGAGTAAACTAAGCTGAGTCTTCAAATGGATATTCTTAGTTTCCTAAGTATACCAAAGTATTCAGAGTAATCTCGAAGGTCTCCAGAAATTGATTAAAAATATGAAAATCTTCCGGAGTAAATAAAATGAATACTGCAGTCTCTGAATTTTTGGCTACATAATTGGTGATACAACACATAGATAAATAAAAAATTAGAATGGCACTAATAAATAAAATAATACATAATAAACTGAGATTTACGGTATTTTATTTAAATTTTAGTATTATATTTTGAGTAAGAACTATTAAACATAACTGATAACAAGAAGAAAGATTTTTTATTAATACTGCAAAATATTTTTACTCTAAAGCAGAGATTAGAGTATTTTTTTGTTTTTAAAGGTTTGACACATCTGATTTGCATTAGGATGACGAGTCAAGGGTTTCTCGACGCAAGAGGTCCTATTTTATGAGTTTTTCGGTACCTGTTTTTTTCTTATAGATTTATTTAGATAGAAAATATGTGAATTTTGAAGATGCAAAGAGACGAAGGAAATGTTTTTAAATGTTTAGTATTTTTTTGAAAATTTTCCTAAGGCAGACCTTCAAGTTTTCAGTTGCTTTCTAGCATTTGCCAGGAACGAAGGGGAACCTACAGTCTGTAATTAATGAGTTAAAGTGAATAATTTATTGAGAATTTATTTATTAATTATTATTTTAATGTAATATTTAAAGTTTTTTATTAAACGAAATAATTTGAAGTGTAAGATAATTCTTTAACTAAAAGAATCCTGCACTAAATGATACAAAATGCATTAATGACAAATTACCCATCGAATGGTACGAAATCATATGCTGAAAAAATTATAAGGAAACAAGTAAGTTTTTCATATATTTTTTATTTACTTAACCAGAAATTTATATTTTATTAAATATCATAATATAATATTATAAATGGTAACCTTTTATTCACTGTCAATTGTAATAGTTTATTTAATAAATTATTGTATAAAAAATTATAACAAAAATATTTTAAAACAAAAATAATTTAATAACATATTAAAATATTTAAATATATCATTAAAGAATACAACTTAAAGTTGACATTTTCAGGTACGGAATTATGAGTTTTGTAAAGGATATACCACATTACTTAATCGCTTCAAATATTTAATTCAGATAATTATTTTTTTTTTATTTTTATCTATTTATTTATTTAACTTGTATAGTAGTTAATTAAGTATTACATATTATGTATAATTATGTTATTTAAGAAAAAAATTTTGTGTATATTTGTGTTTATATGTATCAAAAAATATTCAATGTATAAATTAATTATCAATGAATATTATTTATTTTGATTTATATTTATTATTAAGAAGAATTTTTGTCTATATGACAATGCAACTTCTATTAGACACTATTAGAACTCTATGGTTATGGAGTTCATTACAAGATAATTTAGAAAAATTCATATAATATCCCAATGTATACAAATGGTATACTCTCCTCTCTATGTGGTAGATCTTAGTATACCATCAGTTTACTTTAGCAACTTTTCTCAAAGTATTCCACAGTCTACCTTTTGGCACGGAGGAATACTTATTCGAATACTATGTGACTCAAGTTTACTTTTGGAATATCTACATTTTTCAACCCGGGATATGGATTGCAATTTTATTAGCTATTTCTGCTAACTTGGATGATGTTAGTTATGGCAGCTAATGCCGTGTAACACAATTCTGATTGTTGTTAGTGCAAATGTATTTTGTTTTATTGACAATACAAATTTATCATTTTCAGCTTGTTGAATTAGGAAAAACATATGGATTAGATGGATTGTATTCTAATTGTATTAGATATTTCTGCTAACTGATGTTAGCTGGATGCTATTATATATTAGCATTCAAGTAATTTTTTTATAATTCAACAAATTATTTTTCTGTAATAAATAACATATATTTGATAAGGTACTTGATTGAGAAAAGGGTAATTATTTATAATGAAAACATAGTTTTATTATTTGGTTCCTCATTTTTGGAATTCTTTTATGTAACTCAGAAAAAAGATTTCTTTGAATCAAAGAAATCAATTTCTTTGAATCAAAGAAATCAATTTCTTTAACAAAGTTTTCTTTGACACAAAGAAAATTTATTTGTATGAAACAAATTATCTTTGAGTCAAAAAAAAAATTATCTTCGTTTCAAAGAAATTTTCTATTTAATTTAAATAAATGTTTTTTTTACCTCTTATATAGCAATGCTAGAATTTCTATGATTTAATGCACAAATTTCTTTAATTCAAAAAAAAAATTTCTTTGAATGAAAGAAATTTTCTTTGAAACTATAAAAAACTTTTTCTTTGTTTCAAAGAAAATTTTATGCACACTTTATGAATAAAATGTAAAGAACTTCAGTGGAGTCTACTGTGACTGAGCGTATGATCGGACACAGGCTTCAGAGGCTGCTACCTCTGCTGGGGGCGACTCACTCATTTTTCTTTTTATGGTTCTCTTTCTCCGTCTGTCTCTCTTTCTTCTCCCGACTCTTTTTGTGTTACATTAGAGGGACTATACATTTGGAGCCGATGCTGATGATGCTTATAAGAAATTTGGAATGTGCTCGATGTATGTGTTAACACGCGAGGGCAGATGTGTGAGCAGAAAGTGGGAACAACAGGTGGATATATATACGCAACGGATTTTAAACATCTCTGATATATGCAAACACTTTCAAATATTATTTATAAAATTTAAAAAAAAAAAACTACACTATACCGATTAGAGTTGCACAACCACCACTTTTTTTCAAGTATATGGAAAAAGATCTAAAAACCAAAAATTCATTAGAACTAAAATCGATTTCATTATGAAAACAATTAAAAAATAAAGAAATATACCCCCAGAAAATAGATTTCTTTGATTTAATGAAACCAATTTCTGTGACTTGTTTCCTTTCATTTAAAATAAAATTTTCTTTGAAACAAAAAAAGCTTCTTATTTTCGTATAGAAAATTTCTTTAAATGAAAGATATTTGTACATTAAATCAAAGAAATTGATTTTTTTTGAATCAAAGAAATCTTTTTTCTATAGGTGTAACGATCCTTAAAAGATAAGAAAATTCTGAGAAAGAATAAGACCTGAAAGAAATGATTTTGCTA